AAATGTGTAGACATTAAATATTGGTATCAATTGCTGTGAAAACTTACCTTGCACCTGATTCGAATTGTTGTCTAGTCTAGAAGAACCTGTAAAAAAAATTAAACTCACGAACATAAAATTCTTTATTATACAATTATGACGGTTACAATAATCAACAATGTTACAGCAGCTTGTATGACAAATATATAATTATTATTTACACAATATTTTATTTACTAATTTGTGATTTACAAATGACAAATCGAAGTGGTACTCCTTCCATGTTGTTATTACCCGTTCGGTCTCATTCTCGGCAACACTACTGCACGCATACTCATTCAGTGCCGGGCCATTGTGTCCGTCTATATTGTCCGATATCCTAAAGCTTGGGAGTTGCTTTGTTTCGATTATTAATAAAGTTCTGACGAAACTCTCTTCTAGGAGAAGGCTGAATATGTAAATATTCTATGTCACACACACAGCGACAAATCTGAAAAATAGGCGGAGAGTTGATTATAAACAATGCAACATTTAAGAAATTGTTGAATTTGCATAAGCCTATATAATAATGGATGAAAAAAATAGGTTGACGTTGCCTAAGATTTCTGCAGTTTCAACCATAGTAACAATATATTTAAAATAGATAATCCTTTATTTATTCCACCATGTCCATCATTCATCAAATCACGAAGAACAAAACACAAAGTAATAACGTTTCGTTATTATGTTATAATTTTGTACTTTGTTTTTCCTGGAGTTGTGAATGATGGCAAGATGAAGCGCCGAAACGTATAAACGAGGAATTATCAATGTTAATTGATTTGCTAATTATATATGTATACACACACAGATAATATATATATATATATATATATATATATATTTATTAGATGGTAAAGTCTGGATTTGTAAATATTTTGTAGAGCTTCGAACAAAGAATCCAAAATATAAAAAAACAAAAACCTTTTTGTTTTACTACTTTTTAGATTCTCTGTTCGAAGCTTTACAAAATATATATATATAAATATGTATTATAGAATTTGAAATGTGAGTGAAACGAACTTAAATGTTAAATATGAACAATACAACACTCAGATTTATAACACACACTTTATTAATAATTACAAACGTTTCGAGACCATGATACACTGAAGATGAGGCATCCCTTGGTCTCGAAACGTCTGTAATTATTAAAAAGTGTGTGTTAAAAATCTTAGTGTTGTATTGTTCATATTTAACATTTAATATATGTATATAAGGATGGTCCTAATATGGACATTTTCGAATTTTCTTGCTCCCAAGGCCCAAATGGTTTCCAAATGATAAAAAAATTCTCTGAAAGTTTTAGCTCTTAATATTGTCTTTTAGATAGAGGACAATTCAATCAAAGTTTGTATGAAAAACAGCATGAAAAATTTCTCAAAAATTTTGCAGAGCGTTGAATTTTCAATAAAAAATAACACGAGTTTTCACTTTTAATTCATTTGTCGCTATAATTTATACCTAAAAATTTTTTTTTGTAATTTTCAAAAATTTTTTCCATGCTATTTCCATACAGAGTTTGATTGAATTGCGCACTATCTAAAAGTTAATATTAAGAGATAAAAATTTCAAGAGAATTGTTTTTTATCCCTTTTAAGGACCATCCTAGTATATATATATACGTGTGGGTGTAAACTAAATTAAAAGAATATAAATTTTATGAATATGAGCACATAGCACTTTTTGCTTTTTTTAAATTATAGAGTTTCTCACATTTTGAGGCTGTTATTTTTCTCATCAGCAGTGTGTAAACATCAATAATATATTTTAATTATATATAGACATGAAAATCTTCAATTATTGTCTTGTGTAGATAGTACGACAGTAACAATAAAACACTAGACAATGTTGGAAGATTTCGTTTTCACATATAATTGAAATGATTTATTCAGAACTCTGATGATAAGGTAAATCATAGTCTTGTAATATTTGTGAAAATAATATTGTTAAATATAAATATTACAAAAACAGTATTACTGTGTTAGATATAAATTTTATAGTTGAGTTTTATTAAAATTGAAATGATTCAAATCGGTGTTTGCCGTTTACGGAAAGAGTCGAGAAGAAAATTTATTACATAAATATATATAATCATATACAAGCTTACATAATTTTCTGAATTTTGTGCCAAATGATTCAGAATGAAATGAATTGAGAACAATTGAATTTGCCAATCGGATTCTCAGTTGAGACCCATTCTCCTTCGAATTAAAAATAAAACTAGTGGGCGCGCATGGCATCGTGCCTTAAGGCAAATTGCTGGAACTTCCCGTACCAAAAATTATTAGAGATTAACATTTTTGAAAAAAAAAATTACTCTGAAAAAAATTAGATTTTTGAGAATCTATAAATTTTTGACAAAAATGTACTTTTTTTGAAAAAAAAAAAAAAGACTTTTGAAGAAAAATTATTTTGAAATATTTTGGAAATTTTGAACTTGGATACTGCCTAGAAACAAAATATCAAAGCGCGTAAGCGCCGCGTCCCTGTCTAACGGCTAAACATTGGTACGGAATCCATAGGATTGTAAACAAAATTTATACTTATTGTTAAATCTCTATAAAATATCTGATAATTTGATGTGCATATGTCTGTTAATGATCATTTTGACCGCTAATTCCTTTTTTACTAGATCTCCGAAACCGCTAGACCTGCCTTCATGAAAATTTGATCAGTTTTTCATCTATTACAAGTAAAATGTCATTCAAATCGGCGACGCTCCGTTCTCTTAAAAAACTGAGTTACCGTTTTTTGACACTATTTGCCCTATATTTCGGAACGGCTAGACCTGCTTTGCCAAAAAAATATCAGCACGTCTCTTTATCAATACGAATCGAATGTTTTTGAATTATTCACATCGCTTCATCCGTGTTTCCGAAATGTCGACGAAAATTTGTATCCAAACACACACACATACACGCACACACACACATACATCCATTTTTTCTAAGGTATGCCAATGTTCAGAATGTTTTGAAACGTAAAGATATATAAAAATTTTCATTTTCAATTTTTTCGATTACTATAACTTGCCCTACGGAAAGTTAACAAATACCTATCTAGTAAGAAAGTACTCAATAAGAATAAAAATT